TTGACCAAACATGGGTCTAGTACCAAATTATCATACGAGACAAATGTTTTCTTATATATTTCACAGAAACAAATCACACAGTGCTAGTATATTCAACGCTTTTATTTATTCTGGCAGTTTAACATATCAGATAATTATGGTAAAAATCTGTGTAAATAAAGAAAGTGATAAAGGCTGTTACAAAACTAACACAAATTAGATAAAATAACTTAATGTTACTGACATTTACAATAAATAAACACATCATGATTAACCTTCCTAGACTGATTTAAGCATGGTGAAATCTGTACTTGGTTGGTTGACATGTTAACGTCTCTCGTAACTCCTCCTGTTACTGGATATACGCTTTGTCTCAATGACGATCAAAGGATATGTCATGGACGAGATACTTTGCCCAAAAAATACACAAAGAAACAAGCACAGTTATCTTATTTTGCTTTATACACTTTCATACTTTTCTCCATCCACACACAGATACATCAGTACAGCTAACATTACTTACAGGTGAAGTAGATACATCATCAGTACAGCTAACATTACTTACACGTAAAGTAGATACATCATCAGTACAGCTAACATTACTTACACGTAAAGTAGATACATCATCAGTACAGCTAACATTACTTACACGTAAAGTAGATACATCATCAGTACAGCTAACATTACTTACACGTAAAGTAGATACATCATCAGTACAGCTAACATTACTTACACGTAAAGTAGATACATCATCAGTACAGCTAACATTACTTACACGTAAAGTAGATACATCATCAGTACAGCTAACATTACTTACACGTAAAGTAGATACATCATCAGTACAGCTAACATTACTTACACGTAAAGTAGATACATCATCAGTACAGCTAACATTACTTACACGTAAAGTAGATACATCATCAGTACAGCTAACATTACTTACACGTAAAGTAGATACATCATCAGTACAGCTAACATTACTTACACGTAAAGTAGATACATCATCAGTACAGCTAACATTACTTACACGTAAAGTAGATACATCATCAGTACAGCTAACATTACTTACACGTAAAGTAGATACATCATCAGTACAGCTAACATTACTTACACGTAAAGTAGATACATCATCAGTACAGCTAACATTACTTACACGTAAAGTAGATACATCATCAGTACAGCTAACATTACTTACAGGTGAAGTACATACATCATCAGTACAGCTAACATTACTTACACGTAAAGTAGATACATCATCAGTACAGCTAACATTACTTACACGTAAAGTAGATACATCATCAGTACAGCTAACATTACTTACACGTAAAGTAGATACATCATCAGTACAGCTAACATTACTTACACGTAAAGTAGATACATCATCAGTACAGCTAACATTACTTACACGTAAAGTAGATACATCATCAGTACAGCTAACATTACTTACACGTAAAGTAGATACATCATCAGTACAGCTAACATTACTTACACGTAAAGTAGATACATCATCAGTACAGCTAACATTACTTACACGTAAAGTAGATACATCATCAGTACAGCTAACATTACTTACACGTAAAGTAGATACATCATCAGTACAGCTAACATTACTTACACGTAAAGTAGATACATCATCAGTACAGCTAACATTACTTACAGGTGAAGTACATACATCATCAGTACAGCTAACATTACTTACACGTAAAGTAGATACATCATCAGTACAGCTAACATTACTTACACGTAAAGTAGATACATCATCAGTACAGCTAACATTACTTACACGTAAAGTAGATACATCATCAGTACAGCTAACATTACTTACACGTAAAGTAGATACATCATCAGTACAGCTAACATTACTTACACGTAAAGTAGATACATCATCAGTACAGCTAACATTACTTACACGTAAAGTAGATACATCATCAGTACAGCTAACATTACTTACAGGTGAAGTACATACATCATCAGTACAGCTAACATTACTTACACGTAAAGTAGATACATCATCAGTACAGCTAACATTACTTACACGTAAAGTAGATACATCATCAGTACAGCTAACATTACTTACAGGTGAAGTAGATACATCATCAGTACAGCTAACATTACTTACACAGATAAACATGAATTGACTAAATACCTTATTCATGTAGAGTTTTTTCAAACTTTGGCCTTATCCATAGCATAAGCCCACTGAACAGTCATTAGTATGTTGATAAAGGCGTAGTATATGTACACTATAGTTTAGATAGGTAAAGTTTTCTATAATATCATGTACATGTATTAAATACAGATACAAACAAGGAAATATTTCCACAATGCTGATCCACGTCAATAAGATAAGAAAATTTACAGATTCCCTTTCGATGGAAAATTACAATAAATGCATCAATGATAAACAGAGAAGAGGCCAAAATGCCCGTAAAGTCACCTGGGTAAAGAAATATGTCGTACAAAGAGTAAATCTTAAGTTCTGCAAAGAATACATACATGTACAGATATCTACATAAAACAAACAAAAAAACATCATACATGTGCACAAAATATCAATTGGATAAAGTATCTGTGAACTTTTTAAACAAAGAAGTATACATTTATAATTCCAAATACATTAAATATCAGAAACAGCTTCAATATCAGAAACAGCTGAAATATTAGAAACAGCTGAAATATCAGAAACAGCTGAAATATCAGCTGAAATATCAGAAACAGCTGAAATATCAGAAACAGCTGAAATATCAGAAACAGATTAAATATTCAAAACAGCTTCAATATCAGAAAAAGCCTAAATATCAGAAACAGCTTAAATATCTGAAACAGCTGAAATATTACAAACAGCTTAAATATCAGAAACAGCTGAAATATTACAAACAGCTTAAATATCAGAAACAGCTCCAATATAAAGAACAGCTTCATTATCAGAAACAGCTTAAATATCAAAAGCAACCTAAATATCAGAAACAGCTGAAATATTAGAAACAGGCCTGTGTGGATACAGATTCATACAGCAGGCAGAATTATTAATAATATTCAATTGTGTGTAGGAAATATCAAAAAGATGAAATATGAGTAAAGTTAGTTGATAAGAAGGCTGGTAAGGCTTATAAAAACCAAGTCTGAAAACTTCGTCTCATGAGGATATATACATTACTTGGCTTCTGTCAACACTCTCTAAGGTAGATAACTCTGTTTCATGATTTTATTTACTGAGCAATTCTAAGATCAATTTCTACAGGATGTAGTTCTTGATTGAGATTTTTGATCACAAATCATGCAAATAGAAGTATATTTTCATTATTTTCAACCCAAAGAAGTACCTGCACAAAAGATGTAGGTACATAGATTATCCTGCTGTTATGGAAATAAATACAATCTGATAGAAACTGTATATGATAAAATCTCACTCTGTATACCAGTACAACTTTATACAGGTACAACTTTACACTGATACATTTTTACACCGGTACAAATTTATACAGGTTCAACATTCCACTGGTACAAAATTATACAGGTATAACTTTATATAGGTACAACTTTACACCAGTACAAAATTATACAAGTAAACTTTCCACTGGTACAGAATTATACAGGTTAACTTTCCACTGGTACAAAATTATAGAGGCATAACTTTACATCAGTACAAATTTATACAGGTATAACTTTATACATATACAACATTATACTGGCAAAATTTTATACAGGTACAACATTAGAGAGGTACAATGCTGTACAGGTATAACTTTACAAAGGTATGCTTTATACAAACAATTTTTTCAGGTACAATTTTACACTGATACAACTTTATACAGCTACAATATCTTAACCTAGTTCAGAATGAAATTTAGATAAGGTTTTACCTAGATTGAATTTAAGTCATCAAAACTGTTTCTACTCAGATCAGCTGTCATCGAGCTATACCTATATAAAAGGTACTGGTTAGTATGGCTTTATAGTAAACAATGTGGCTATATAGTATACAGTGTGGCTATATAGTATACAGTGTGGCTATATAGTATACAGTATGACTATATAGTATACAGTGTGGCTATATAGTATACAGTGTGGCTATATAGTATACAGTGTGGCTATATAGTATACAGTGTGGCTATATAGTATACAGTGTAGCTGTATAGTATACAGTATGGCTATATAGTATACAGTGTGGCTATATAGTATACAGTGTAGCTGTATAGTATACAGTGTGGCTATATAGTATACAGTGTGGCTATATAGTATAAAGTATGGCTATATAGTATACAATATGGCTATATAGTATACAGTGTAGCTGTATAGTATACAGTATGGCTATAGAGTATACAGTGTGGCTATATAGTATACAGTATGGCTATATAGTATACAGTGTGGCTATATAGTATAAAGTATGGCTATATAGTATACAGTATACAATATGGCTATATAGTATACAGTATGGCTATATAGTATACAGTGTAGCTGTATAGTATACAGTATGGCTATATAGTATACAGTGTGGCTATATAGTATACAGTGTAGCTGTATAGTATACAGTATGGCTATATAGGATACAGTGTGGCTATATAGTATACAGTGTGGCTATATAGTATACAGTGTAGCTGTATAGTATACAGTATGGCTATATAGTATACAGTATGGCTATATACTATACAGTATGGCTATATAGTATACAGTGTAGCTGTATAGTATACAGTATGGCTATATAGTATACAGTGTGGCTATATAGTATAATGTATGGCTATATAGTATAAAGTATGGCTATATAGTATACAGTATATACAGTATACAATATGGCTATATAGTATACAGTATGGCTATATAGTATACAGTGTGGCTATATAGTATACAATATGGCTTTATAGTATACAGTGTAGCTGTATAGTATACAGTATGGCTATATAGTATACAGTATACAATATGGCTATATAGTATACAGTATGGCTATATAGTATACAGTGTGGCTATATAGTATACAGTATGGCTATATAGTATACAGTATACAATATGGCTTTATAGTATACAGTATGGCTATATAGTATACAGTATGGCTATATAGTATACAGTATGACTATATAGTATACAGTGTGGCTATATAGTATACAGTATGACTATATAGTATATAGTATGGCTTTATAGTATACAGTATGGCTATATAATATAAATTACTGTCACACAATTAACTGACCCAGCATAAAGCACGCCTCTTTGACTCTGTCAGAATGTGTTTTTGTCTGTTCTGTTCCAAAATAAAACATTGACTAACATAACAAAGTTAGTGTCAGGAAAACAATAGCATCTTTACATTTCTGACGTTAAACTTATCATTGTAAAGAGTAATGAAAAGCACCCTGTCCCAACTGAGGTTCACTGTACCGCAAGACAAGGCTAGTACTCTCAACTTCTACAACATGAACTTTTGTTTGGTAAATCAAGTTTCTTATGTTATACTTGTATAGAGTTGTACCTCTCTAATGTCGAGCCTATATTAAAGATCACCTTTATATAAAGACCTCTTGTTTTCGTTCCCAGTGTACCTGTGATATAATCCATGGTAACTGAATCTAAAGGCCATTTTGTCTGCTTAAGTGGCATTTATAAACAAGTTTGACAATACAATCAAACCCCGTTATCTCAAACTTGCATTACTTGAAGACCCTGTTTAATTTGAAATATTTTATCAGCCCCTGCCTTACTTTACACAAAACATTCAAACTCACTTAAATCCTATACTCAGTTATCTCAATTTTTTTTTATGGTCCCGTCAATTTCAAGATAACAAGGTTTGAATATATATATAAATTGGATCAGAAGCTACTAACCAATAGTAGAATTTGGTCAGCAATGCAATGTCCTCGTTCAATAAAAAATTTCTGAAAGCTTCATTTACATGACTATTTTGTTAAGATGACGTAAAGTCACTTTGATGAATGTGTTAAACAACTATAAAATAATGAATTTGGCATTACAATACCAGAAATAACAAAGATATTAACACTATTGAGATCATGAGATCCTGGTTACAATTTTTTTGAGTTCCTGTATCCATGGCAACCCAATCTGGAAGGTAAAAATCAGCTGGATCTAGATCCTTATCAAGACGAGTACCAGGTTCTGGGAAATTTCTGTAGTACACAGTATGTCCACCTGCCAGCCATGCACCCCACCATCCATATGTCCCTGTGGTAATGATGGAATGGTTGCACATGCTCAAAATTGCAATATCTACAAATTGATGGTTCTGCGGAATAATAACAGTGTCAGGTTCCCTTAAATGCTTAGAACACCAAAGGTAATCATCCGATACAACCAGAAACTTTATAGTTTTACCCACAAATTTTTTGCGCATGTAACTCATGGCATTGTTAATATACTCTAATGGCGCTGATTTAAATCCAAGTTTTGTAGAACTTGGTATCATCATATCAGTTCGTCGAACATGAACACTTACATAGATTGATGTGTTGGAGATATTCTCTGTGTAGTTAAGAAAAATTGTCCTTGCTTTAGAATATATATTTGGCCAAAATGTAAATTCTTTCCGAACTTCTGATTCATAGCCTTCAAAGTATTTCCAGGACTGAAAATACTGCTTAAGTGTCAGGTTTATTCTAGGGAGATTTTCTGTGTGATAATCATATTTACAAGGGTATTGTTCTGTAAAGTCATCCAGACATACTGGTTGCCATGACAATGTATGTTGTAACTTGAAAATTGAGGAGAGACTACTATATTTAGAAATGAATGGTTGACGATTATTTCTCATAGCGATTCCAATTAATGATGCATACGCAAACATCCAGTTACCAAGACGACCATGCAGTGAGAAGTTGATATAGAGTGGTGAATGGATCTCTGTTTCCTGGTGCAGAACACATTTTGAGTATTCAGTATCCCAAATCTTTCTTACAACAGGGACATGAAGTATAGATGGAACCATCTGTTTCAGGGACAACCAGAGATACAAAACTGTACAGGCCATCCCAAGAAACAGGATAATACACGACTTGAAGTGAATCTTTATAGTCTTGTCCATCTTTCAGTCTGTGAACCATTTCTCCTTTGAGGCATCTGTACCATTTTACATCTCAAAATCTGTCTCCGCATTTATCAAACTGAAAAAAAATAACAGAAATTTCAGAATAATTTGGTTGTTTTTTAAATTACTTTTAGAAGGGGTGTCCATTGTTAACTTGGTGAAATTGACAACACAAAGCATGTAAAATATTTTTGGCAGAAATATCGTGTCAATATTTCCGGTTCAGGATGTGAAGAGTCCTCTATACCAGACTCAATAATGCATGTTAAGTTTCAAGATTCTATAACAAATAAATTATGCATGTTTATCTATTCACTTTCTGCAAACAAACTTTTCTTTCTTCTTTCTTTATTTTTTTTTTTTTTTTTAACATTTCCCAAAAGCAATCGTCTTGTCAAAAAAAATCAGTTCCTAATCAGGTTTAAACATAATACAATTACCTCAGGATACCTCTGGATATTATACAGAACACAGGCCTAGGAGACCTCTCTATTCGGCTCCTTTCTAATTGTTCCAGGTGGAGCAGCTCTATAGTCATAAATAAATTCCTCCCCTCGCCAGACCTTATCCAGTGCAATTGCAACAACAAGTCTTTGTTTTTAAAGCTTGATTTAAACCGACTTGAGGCTACCGCTCAGTTTAGTTTAAAGGGGATTTTGTGATACAAAGCTTTATTTAGTAAGCCGATAGATTTATTAACTTCAGGATGTGGCTCCGAGGGCGATCAAGCGTCGCGCGTTAGCCCGTCACAGATTATTAACTAGTGACATGCTTTACTCAAAAGCATCAAACAATTACAGTCGATCATGGATACATAAATTCGATCTCCCATACCTTTCGAGAAAGTTTATGACAACTGACATCCACACGAGATGCCACAAGCCACTGTCCGTCTCAGAATGCTGGAGTAAATGCAAGGGAGATAACTCTACAGAAATATGGCCTATGGGTTGATCTAATATACGGACACCGCGCACTCAACCGGAACACGACAAGTTCATAACTATTTACATTTGCTTTTCTCATGTTGAAGACCAGTTATCATGTTAGTATACAATGAGTGGCTAATAGTAATCACAAATCAGCTCAATGAGTCTATTGTATATTTTAAGAAACTCATCGTCACTTCAGTATTCATTTTCTGGCTGTATAGTCTGAATATCATGATCAGCGATTTTATTTTTAATTGATCGAGGTCGAGAATATGCAATTCCTCGATATATAAAAACGCAACAGTTTAGCTACCGCAGTCGACATTCTGGCTTTATATAGTTTATGCCATAGAGATAAATATAAATCACACATTGATGGAAAGATGATAATTTTTTCTACTGACTGCTATGGTGCGAAATGAAGCAAAAATGTTGTGGACTTTATGTGTTTCCTCTCTCTCTCTCTCTCTCTCTCTCTCTCTCTCTCTCTCTCTCTCTCTCGTTTTTCTCAGTTTTTTTACAACTTGACTTTCTCGGTATACTTACAATGACCGTCTCTATACGGATTATGTCTTATTGAGATCGAGGATAGAGAGTCGGATTTTCGTTCTCATATTCCGACACAATTCTATCAATCAACAAAGCAATCTTGATACTTGGTATGGATCAGAAGATCTTTCAATATTTATTTAAAGCTGCATTAATCAGGTCACACTTGAAATGAGTCCAAATCATTGTGATGTCCTATCGACCTATAAATTTTGACTACAGATGTACAGTATACGTGTGGCGCCAGGACAAACTAAGATATTCTAATGATTGAGAACGTTCAATTTTATAAATTTCATGTAATATAGACACTTGTGTTAGATCATATACACTTGCTAAATTGTCAGTAAACCAATATATGTTTCACTGGTCACTTTCCTTCCAACCGGACACGCTTTGTACCAAATACATTTAATCACTGCAAAATGTCCAGATTATTACAGTATTGTTTAAACTCGGAAACCGAACAAGCTGCCTGACACAACTTCTGTTAATTAACTGGAATTAAAATCTACCTGATACGACTTTAAAGCAAATGTTCGCGGGCTTATGAAAATATTTATTTATCGTTCAGGTTTTTAATAAAATAAACATGTACTATTTATTTATCCCATTCAATGTCATTTGAACTGTGACATTGTTTTCCGCCAAATGACGCGCTGCAAATAGCATCAGTCACGAGATGTCCCTGGCTGTCCCCTACAAATTACATAAACGAAAAGTGCATTTAGTATCCCAGTCTTTAATTGTATACTTCAAATACAATGAACAGCAACTGTAGAAAGAGAATTTGTTTCAAGGTGTTCATCTTTCAAAATGTATAATATCCCGCACAAGACGCTATCTCTCATTTTTGCTCACTTTTGACATAAATCCAATGGACATAGCAAGGCTGCAATATTACAAGAAGAGACATGTAATTAGTGTCAAATTGTGCCAAAACTTCATCGTCAAAAATAATATTCTTTTAAAATCAATTTCAAAGAAATCAAAACAGTATGGTATTATTGCATATGTATTATAAATAGAAAAGGTGAACCCGCATACACTAGTTGTAGATAATAACATCTTTAATCTATATTTAGATAATAAGTTTTCTGTATGTAATGTAATTTTAAAACCACCAATGTTTTGATCCCTGAACCTTTGTGACACCTCTATAAAGAGATAATGATATTGTAAACAGGAGTGCCTTTTATTACACACTGAATCACTTCCGTTTAACTTTGTCCTAGTTAAACCCTGTAATATAACGGTCAGTTACCTGTGATGGGCCTCAGGGGGAAACGCGTCACAATATATTGGAATTATTCATTTTTGCGTTGAATTTTATTGTAACGTCATCAGGGCAATTATCATGTATCAATCATTTAAAAATTCTATCAACTGTGGATGGATTGAGTAATTAGACATGTAACTACTCCATATTACACTTTCAGTATCATTTAAAATGGTTGAAGATCCCTTTATGTACCCCTTTAAAATAAAAATATTCTGAACCGGAAGTGCAAATTATATTAGATTTCTGTCTTCGACGCATGCGTACTTGTTATTTTGGTTTCACTCGCGCCATGAAAATGTGACAAGTCAGTAATATTATATTGTATATGTGCAATACATGTGGATCAGGGTAAGTTCTGGTGCTGTCTGCATCGTGTGGAATATACTTATGACGCGTGCGAAGAAAAAAGTATATCGGAATTCGTTGTAGATCCGTTAGAAACACTTGCGATTATAGCCAGCCCCGTTCGCCGATGGTTTGTTTTGGTTGGTGCCACTAAGTCTAGCTGTGCAGCATTGAAGCGACTTGAAGATGATGCATGATTTATTTTAAAAGAATTATCATAAATTACATCAATAACGTAATGAAACAGTTCCCAAGTTTCCAACTAGACTGTTAATATGACACTACCGTCGTGTGGTAAACTCCACTGTCGATATTCCCAACTGCATGCAACTTTATTTCTTTTTGGCATATTCAGCGACGTTTTCTTACAACAATATCTAGCCCTTATAATGAGATGGAAAATAGCGCTCAGTAATGATCATTTGACATTAATACTTAATGATGCAGATTACTATGTTTTAAAGCTTATCTACATCAACGTTACCTCGACAGAACATTGATTTTCGGAGAGACAACATCTAGCGATAGAAATAGGCACAGAAGAACTGTAATCAGCCATATGGATAAATAACATTGTAGCTGTATGCAATGTAATGTCTATCAATCAATCGTCTTGAATTTGGATTTGGTCTCAAAATTGTCACATATTTGGGTTCTTAATAAGTTAGAAATAGGAGCAGCTGGCTTGCTTCCATATTGCCATTGATCTCCAAAAAGCTTTCAGATCTAGGCATCCTGTTATAAAGTATAAACGTATTATACGTCCCTGGTATAAACAATGAAAATAATTTATGACTTAGATGATCTGATGGAAAAAGAATGTATGGCAGAGATTTTTATGATTAAATGTGTTTTAATACTTTAACAGTTTCTGTAATTAAGGATAACTTAGAAGATACCTGATCTTGGTCACCAAGAAGCTTATCATGTCCACTCAGGCCCCGACATCGGCGGACGCCTGCCTGAGTATCGTCCACAGCCTCATGTGCCACAGACAAGGTGGTGAGAGTGAGAGTTTTGGAAAACGAGCAATTGAAAGTCTGGTTAAAAAATTGAAGGAAAAACGTGATGAATTAGACAGTCTTATAACGGCCATAACAACGAATGGCGCCCATCCTACAAAATGTGTAACCATACAGCGAACCCTAGATGGAAGACTACAGGTAAAATACTGTAATAACAATGAAAGTCTTGTTTACAATTAAAATAAGAATGTTTATGGACAGAAAAGTCTGTCAATTGTAAACTACTGAACTTTTTGGTCAGAAATAAACTATTGAACTTTTTTGGTTAGAAATTCTCATCATGTCTTTTTGATCAAAATGATTTGACATAATGATATCATAGATATTTCCAAATTAAGGCACATGTCTTGGAAACAGATTTGCCATTATTGAAATACATGTAAAGTACAGATATAACTGTAAAATGTTGTCTTGGTTTTCAATGTAAAGTGATTATAAGTTTAAAGCAGTTTATTTAATGAAGAGGTTAGAACCTGGGCGTTTTTAACTATGTATAGGTCAAATATTTTCTGTCCTTCATATTTCTGATGTAGGGAATTTACTTGCAGGTGGCAGGAAGAAAAGGATTTCCACACGTGATATATGCTCGTATTTGGAGATGGCCAGACCTGCACAAGAATGAATTAAAGCATGCTAAATTCTGTCAGTACGCATTTGACCTGAAGCAGGATAGTGTGTGTGTAAACCCTTATCATTATGAGAGAGTTGTCTCCCCTGGAATAGGTAAAGATATCTTGTATCATTTATAAAATTGGTATATTTAGCTGTTTGTGATTTGAATGTGAAAAAAGAAACAGATTTGCATTAGATGTTTTCTAATTTCTGCTGTACATCTACACGTAAGACAGTTCAAGAGGCTCAATATAGCCAATCAAGTGATGACAGCAAGAAAAATGGTTGCTTTTTGTTAATAGTGAAATTTGTCACTCAAGTGTAGAACATAATTTGTGCTAAATCTTAATGTGACTGACTGGCTTATCAGACAGATAGTTTAATTGTGGTCACCTTAGTGTCAGAATCATGCTGTGAAACATTGGCTGGACATGCTCTCCACCGTTGAGACATTAACTGGTCACAGTTTAATTGTAGATCAGTAGAAGACACTTTCCCTATCAGAATTGGATTATAATTACTTTAGGATAAACTGTAAGATCACAGCAAATAGAGTCAGTCCTGGTGTGGCCATGGAAGGAGTAACTTGTTAAGCTCGATACTCAGGCCATACATGTTATCATTGTTGTAACTTGTGCTAATACTCAACATTTGTACTTGAAAACGGTTGTTGCTGGTCTTTTGTATAACATAAGGATAGTACAACATAGAGGGGTAACACTTTTTATAACGGTAATATGGCATCAGGATTTACAAAATATGGTCAGCCTGATATCTGATGTGAAGTTGATACTGTAAATCACTTACATTTCATTTTGGATTTACTTTTGCATTAATAAGTGAGGAGAATCAATCACAGATCCCCTCAGGAAATTTGTACAAAAATAACTTGGGATGGTATGTGTGTTGACTTGGTTACTGATTGTTGAGTCCTGAAGAGTCTATAACTCGGATAGCTCATCATTCACCAAATTAAAATCATTTCTAAATTATTTTTTAAAATCATGTATTCATGAATATGTTTGTAGAGGTAAGCTGGCAGAATAATGTATTTGTGGAATCAAAGTGGTTCACAGTAATCTAATGACACATGGTCACCGGCATAGTGGTATAATTCTCCTTTCACTTTGGTGACAGGGGTAGGATTGCCTGACTTGGCATGGATATTATCAGGTTATGAAACTAGGCCACCTTCCCAGTCACACGTTTTCCTTCCTTGCCTTCCTTTCTGGTCCTAAATATTCATATCATTATCGTTCATGGAATTTATTTGCTTCTTTGTGTTCGTATTAAGTTTCAGAGATTTTAGAGACCCAAATATTTGAGTCCTGAACTTCCATTTTTTTCTGTTCAAACTTCATCTGTCAGTAAGGTGACTCATCTTGATATTAACAATTGTATTCTTGATTAGTCTGATCAAATATTGATAAAATCTGACACAGATAAATTAACATCAAAGTGAAATGTAGGTAATAAAATGTAATTTTATGTTTATTTGTAGACTTGTCTGGATTGACAATTCAACACGCACGTAAGTATTTAAGAATTGTAACAAACAGCATTTGAATTTCTGTATATTTACAAGCACAGATTGTAATGTTGTTGAAAGTCTTTGTGTGCCACTCCCTTTGGAATGAATAGTTACCAATTTACATAATGTATCACCATTCTTTCTTTGCTGGATAAATTGTCCTGTGAACAGCCAGGGTTATTTTGAGACAGGGTCCCCTTCTAGTATGTGGCTTCTTCAAAAAACATAATGTGGAATGTCAGCCATATGTAGTTTGAAACATTTGCTGTTAAAGTGTCTTGCCCAGGAGTGCACAAGACTGTCATGACCTCAACTTTCTAGGAATTGCAACCTGTCCTAGATATAGATCAATCTACACATTTCAAATTGATTTTCAAGTCTTTACTGTGGGACTCACTCGGCGTTGTGACTGGACTTCTCAGAATTTTTGAAATGGTGCTCTGGACTCGCAATCCTACAAAAATTACTGATTGCATTAGTCAGTATGCTGTACTGACTGAACTGCATTTTGTGAGAAGTTGACCTAAGGCGTTCTCCATATCTCTACTGTACCCTCATGTCTCCAATCAATGTCATCACACTAGACACCTCATTTTAATAGGGATTGTGATTAAAGGTGAAATAAACATCAATATAACAAGGATGAGTTGCCAGGTCACTGTCACTATTAAGGATTGATAGACCTGTCTGAGTACTAAACAATTTGTATCCAGTGAACCTGTGATATTAGCCAGAAATAAATTAAGGTACTTAGATTTATTATTGTATCCAGTGAACCTGTGATATTAGCCAGAAATAAATTAAGGTACTTAAATTTATTATTGTATCCAGTGAACCTGTGATATTAGCCAGAAATAAATTAAGATACTTAGATTTATTAAGGTTTGATGGAAAAGCAGCCATTCAAATTGTACTCGCATTACCACAACAGATATGTACTGCTGTTGAATATAAGGTATCACATGTTTAAACCCAGAAAATATTGTCATTTCATATTTTACTATATTAATTAAGCTGTATAAATAAGGATACATAAAACACAGTCTATCCATTGGAAACCTCAAAAAATGAAAGGTTTGGATGTTGAATGTTTAGTACCATTCTCTAATAATTGTCATCCAACATGTTTTGTGGCCCAATTAAATCAGTCCTTTTTTCTCTTGCAAAGCTCTTTTCATCTGACCAAGATATTGTTTTTCACCGAGTAATAGATTTTACTGTAAAATCAGATCTGATAATTGGTTTTACAAAAAAGTCCCTATTTTGTGGGCAGTTTATTTCATGGATAAATATGACTCAATAAATCTTTTTTTACTAATCTTAACATTTTGTTGTCCTGTAAATTTGTGATAAAGAGTACACTTAAAATCCACAAAAATTAATGATATGACTGTAACTAATTTAATTTGACATCAGCAAATTACAAGTCACAACCCAATGTGATGTAAATTTGTTCTATTTATCTACCTACAGACAATAAGGATTCGGTTATTGATCTGGGTACAAGTAGGAATTTAACACCGAATACAGAAAAAAAATTATGTATTGAATACAAAGAATTCTTAAAGTTCACTGTTTCATTTCTGAGCTTGCGAAATTCACTCTGAAGCCTAACAGTTAAATCACCATCACATGGACCGACTCCTCTGGTCGTTTTCTGAGGAATGAAGGGGTTTTATTTCTGCACTTTCTTGCACTTTTTATCAGTATTTTTGTTTGTGTATTATGTATTGTTGTGACTGTTGTAATATGTGTTGCTACAGTTAGAGCTTGAAGTGGTTTTAGATTTTACCAACTGAACGACTTCATTTTTAACCAATTGATAAATGTTTTATGTTTAATTTTCTGAGAGGTTCTAGTTTTTAATCCCAAATTCACTGTTCATGTGAAGATCACTTTCTGACAGCTTGTCATTTGATTTTGAAGATCTGTAATTCTAAGTTTTGAAAGTTCTTTAACAAATTGAAAACTAGCTATAGTCATACTTGAATGTAAGAAATGTTGCATTTGTGTAAGTATGAATGAAAATGAGGAGAATTTTCTTTTGTGTAGAAAAGAATGGATTTGAGGATAAATTTGTCTTATGTGAAAATCAATTTGTGGAGAATTCTGTTTTACACAAAGAAAAGAATGGTTTTGGGGAGAAATTTGTCATATATCAAATTCAGGTTTTAGAGAAACAATTTTTTGTATAGAAAAGAATGGAATAATTTTATTGAGAAATCTGTTTATGCTGAGAATAGAATTGTGAAAAAAATTAAGTTTTTTCTTTTTTCATTTTCTTAGAAAAAAAATTAAGGAGGAAATCTAGGAAATCCGTTTTGTGTAGAAAAGGAAAAATCTTTTTTGTGTAAAGAATGGATTTATGGAGAAATATGTAGTATTGTTAGAATGTAAATCTAGAATGCCAGATTTCTTATCTTGTAGAAAAATATCATGTAAGGTGAAAAGGCGGAATACGATGTAATCACTAATAGCTATAACCAAAACCATAAAAAGCTAGGTAATCTGTTTAGTTGTTACGCAGCCATCTGGATGTGTACAAAAACTTGTTGCTATTAACAATGCCACAGTGCCAATTATTACAGCGCCCCCTAGCAGGCTTGTGAAGGATGAGTACCAAGGAGGTAACCAGCACCCAGCCATTGAGGCAGGGGACAACTGCCAGACCATACAGCACCCTCCACAGGACAGCTTCACCAATCGTGCACTGCCATCTTCGGCACTCGGTATGGTATCCTAGCCCTTACACATCTTAGTAGCCTTAGACACTGGCTGGGTCATCATTTAAGCCATTTGTGGCTGCGACCCATAAGCATTATTGTGTATATAAAATTTTCATCTAATCACTTTGAGCTTGACCTGTTATGGTCAGTTTTCAGAGGAGGATATACTATGACTCTTAACTTTGGCTTTTGAAGCCAGTGTCACTTTATTTTTGAATCTCTTACCTTGTGATTAAAGGGCCAGTCACCTGACTTGGCTGCTGAACTTTGGAGCTGTTAGAATTATATATAGATCCCCTTGCTCCCAAGCTGTTCATAATCTTACATGAAACATTTTCTATATAGTCAGGCGTTAACTGAAAGGGTTAAACTATATTAAGGTTTGGTTTTAAATCTCAGCATGTGAACCTATATTTTATATTTGCACAAAATTTAATGAATTTCATTATTTTTGAAGTTTTTATTATTCCTATTTTTTACCATATAACCTATGCAGTATGTGGCACTTTTTGCTTTCCCATATTATTTCAGAATTCATTATCAATTTTTATTTCCACAGAAAGCTTTGCAATGTAATTTGTTGTTCACAAAGATATGATATTGATGTGATTCAGTGTCTTTTATATTTAATGTTCAGCATATATTTGCATTTTGACAATTTGATTCAATTGTTTGAATTGCTGTCAGTGTTTTACTTTGTGCTATTTCAATGCTATATACTGTATCTTTATGTTCTGCACAATTTTAAAATGTATTTTATAACTTTATTTTAGTAAGTTATCTTCCAGAACCATATCGTCATATAATTCCAGTTGATCTATTTCTTTCAGATAAAAATATTTGAATTATTTTAACTTTTTACTGTACAAAAGGAGTAATGCATTTTGACTGAAAATCTTTGTGGATTTTTTTTATTTATACAGTGCAGAACAATTGAATCTGTTGAGATTTCATTGGTGGATTATTTTTTAGAGTACAGCAGAAAGTGGCATTGCGATAATTTTATTGGTTATTTATCTAGGTCAGGGTTCACCGAGCCCTCAGTCCACTGGGCAGCACCAGACACACCATCCGGCTGTTCCTCAGCACTCTAACACGATAGTGGGGCGAGGTGGCCCCTCCCAGGGGGCAGGGCCCACGGGGTCGGTCTCTGTCCCCCTCCAGCACACTCCCTTGTCCCCCCAGGCTCTTTCGCCTCAACCCTCAGGTTTTATTTTTGTGTCTGTGTTTTCTGTTTGTGTAGCTTGTTGCTGTTTGTGTTGCCTGCATTGTTTTCTTCTGTCTGCCAGTCGTGGTCTAGGGCCAGCACTGACCATTCTCCAAGTTCATTCTTAATTAATGATTATTTAAAAACAATTCAACATGAATCTCTATAAAGAATTTCAAACAGACGAAGTTTGTCATCTACTGTGAAATCAAGACTTAATGATACAAAACTGTGATCACAAACCATAATGAACAGCTAGTGTCATTGTTGTTTAAAGGTGATAACCAAAATATTTTTATTTTATTATCTCCATCATCTCTTTTGTTGATTTATCAGTAGAGCAATATATTGTATACAAGTGTGATAAATCCATTATAACATTTGTGTCAGTGAGAGATTTAATCGTCAGACCTAAAGTTACCCATATGAGGCCCCAATCCTCCCTACACCTAATATACTGAAATTTCCTAGATGAACCTGATCACAAATAGAAGATATGGAAGTTCTTGGGTGAACAAAGCAAGAAAAAATGTAAGAAATATCTGTATTTCCAGTTTCATGACAGTCACAGTTTTTGTTACTGACCCTTAATTTTTGTAACAATTTTGTCAAAAAATTCATAAAAAATTACTTTGTCGATTTTGCTGATGTTTTGTTTGCTGGCCATCCCCATAAGTACAATTGACCTGAGACAAATTCACCTATATGCTTAACATACAATGTATATGTTATTTATAGACCAATTTCAAACATACTCTTGACGTCTTTCTGAGAAGAAACTGGGATATTAGTTTAGTTTTGATATGATGGTTGGCATTGAAAAAAAAGATTCATATTTGTGAAATTGTCAACTTACATCAAATGTACGTCTTGAGTCTAATTATAATTTTCCTAAATACTTAATGTTGAAATTAAGTGACTAAGACCTAGCTTTGTGCATAGGTTCATTCCTATGTATATATATTACAGAAAACAAAAAAACTCCACAAAAATTTTAAAAAAAACAATAGTGCCAACACACAAGACACAATTAATGGAAAAATGGACGTCACACAAACACAAGGATAAGAAAACAACTGAAAACATCAGAAACAAAAGTAATTGTTTCTCAGAAATTCATTTTTAATAATCAAATAGCTTAGATGTTGTGAACATCTTCTGAGCATGATAAATATCTCCTGATATACACATCGGCGCATAAACATACATGACACACAAATGAACCATTCCTTAAATCAGTGTGGTATTGAGAACTTGGTGTCAAGAGCAAGCAAACATTAGTTTTAAAAAGTGATTAGGGAAAAAAACCAGGAAATAAACAAATCGCTGTCTTAAATGACCATGATTTTTATTCGAGCAATATTAAATCAGCAGCATGATGCTTCTCTTTATAACTAGTGAAATATGACATTTTTTTTATGTGGATTCCTCTGATACCAATTATCAGCTTGATTCTTAAGTAGAAGGTTTTCCTTCATGATGTCAACAAAAAATATATTTTAGTTGTTTAATGTCAGTTTGTGTTGTTTTCATCCATTTGTAGCTGGTATGGCTTGAACGCGAGCTCAATGTTTATCCCTTAGTATGGAATCTGCTATTTGTACAGCATCACCTTTTCCTTTAAGCCATTTCTTTGCAAGAACAAATTGTCCAAGAGTCCTCTTGATATTTAACCCTGTAACATTGCTAGATTTTGAAGTGGATATATAATTGGAGTTAGACTCCGCTTTGGAGGTCACTTATTTGAGATTTAAATGAATGTTTTGTGACAGGCGTGGAATACCCGGGAGTGATGTACATTCCTTTGGCCTCTTGTTTCAAAATGATTAATCTTATACCCATTTTTGAAGAAAAGAAATAACAAATACTGACAAGAAAGATATGAATAGTGTTTTTATATCACAAGAAAAGTTTCTTTGAAAAAAAATAGATTGAATTTTGTACTGATGACAAACCTAATCCTCTTCTGTCCTAATGTGATGTCATGGCTTGGTAAATTACTGCATGGAGTATATGAAAATCAATCCATGTGATTTGTAGTGAAGACAACAGTTACTATAGTTACCAGAAAAACAGATGTGTGATTGTGGTTGACTAGGAAGTACACATCACCCCACCAGCCCCCTGACCCCTCAGTATCTTTTGTACATCAATATAAACACTCTTTTTCATGCAGTGGCTTAATACACACCAAGCTTTGATATATTAGCACTTGGTATATACTCTTGTTGTGTGATTGCCTTCTATGCCCCAAGCTTTGATGTATGAGGATGTATATGCGTAAAGACTTTGTTGCTTCAATCCAGCTAACCTTTGGTGTATTAGCCCTGTAACCTTGTTGCTTTGTGTGGTATCACGTGCCTTGTGTATTTACCAACTGACACCTGTGTAAACCTACAAGCTTCTGCTAGCTGCACCTTATAGTAGTTAGAATATTGACTTTCAGCTTAATTTTTCTTGCAACGATCTGCTTTAAATCCTGAGTTGACTTTCACTAGACACATCCTACCCCAATTATATCCATTTTATACCATGTGATGTCCCACTCAAAATATCTATTTTTAGATCACCTGCGCTTAAGTCATGGTGACCTATCGTCTTTTGTTTGGTGTCATGTATCTAGCATCCATAAAAGATTTTCACATTAAGGTGCTTTACTAAAATTGCGAGTTTCCAGACACCAGGATTTCACATATCCCCTTGAGGAGAGGGTAAAATTTACTATAGTTAATATGTGGAAAAATAGACATCTATAAATCTTGATTAGAGTCTAAGCGATAGATGACAGCTTGATGGTATGCACACTTTGACCCTGGCTAACCCCGAGGAGCTGATGGGCAGGTCTGAAGAGGATAAAATGGAATCAAATTTCAAAAATCTTCTCAAAACCTAGATATGGTAGAATCAATTGTTCTTCATGGTTGGATGTCTTTAAGGTTCTTTACCAAAGTTTAGAATTTCATTACCCCTAGTTCTCACATTTCCCCTTGGGGAGGGGGTGAAGTATACTACAGTTTTTATAGAAAAATGCATTTTTAAGCATGACACTGTTTATTTTCTGTTGGGAAATAAATTGGAGAAAATTATTATTATACCATATCTATAATATTACATACCATGTGATGTCCCATTCCAAATATCAATTTTATACCATTTGACATCACTCTGAGAATATATATTTTATACTCTGTGACATTTCCCTCTGAATGTCTATGTTATGTGACAGTTTGGAGGTAGACCTTATTTTGATTCTGTTGAAGTCCTCATTTCCATTTCATTCCAACTTTTCAGTCAATTTTGAATATAAACATTAAACATTAAACCTATTAACTGTATAACTACTGTGTATACACACATCAATATTACTCAACTCGAGTCCTCTGAACCAAGTCTATTGAGAAGTTCAATGTCGCCTGTGTTCACCCAACTGAATTATTAAATCTATATAAAATTAAGGTAAATTTTGACACTATATGTAGAGATAAGTAACAAATACAAATCTCATCTGTAACATTACCTACCTGGTGAGTTGATTAATGGACGACCAAATATATAGTGTGTTGATAATTCTGTGTCTGGTGTGTTTTTAGATTCAGAGTGATTGATTGTGACTGCAGAGTAGAACTGTGGTCATTTGTCTTTACCATGCGAAACCCCCAACCACCACCATCTTGACTTTTCCTTGTAGAGACTTTGTACATGTTTTTTTCTGTCCTGAACATGCTGTATTTCTACAGTATAGTGTATGTGTTGTGATAAGCATTTTGTAGTACAGCCAGTACATTTTGTACATGTGTTCATGAGAAACTTGTGGGATGAACAATTCAGCTTCTGTTTCAGTTCAAGGAACAATCAACTCTCGTGCTGTCATCTTACAATAAATGATATCTTTAATTACAGAATTCACAAATCACATCATTTCTTGCTTCAATTTAAATAATTCTACAATTTCTTACATTTTAAAAAAAAGTTCTACAAACATTTGTTGTTAGATATATTTGACTAATTTCTTTCCTTTACAAATGAACCCAACATATGTCCGGTTTATTATTTTAATATAGGAAACATTTTCTATCTGATATAACTTGAACAAGGGAGATAATTTGAACACATCTCATTTCTTTATAGTATAAAAAATCATTTGATATTGTAAATGTTTGTATTTCAAAAGGAACTTCATTGTTATACCTGTCTGGGATAGATATAATGGTTTATACATATTGAGTTATTTTGTTGGGAGGATATTTATAACAGCTGGATTGGACAGCTAGACTTTTAACTGGATTCATGTACTTGATTCAAGTTCTTTACCACTACTTGTATCTTCTCCTCTAGTTAAATGTTTCTCCATCATACTAAATAAATTTTGGTTATCTATGAACTGTTTGAGCACTGATGACTAGAGCTTGTAGTTAGATATCTGATAGCTGACTCTGCTTGTCTAGGCACTAATCTCTTCTAATAGCTTAACCTGTCAAACAGAGCATATTAACTAGTATTAATCACTTCTATATAAACATGACTTTTAAATCATTATTTGAGTTTTACACGTTTTATATTTTACATATTTTTAAAGATAAATGATAATAATAGATTATGATTTTCAGATATATTTTAATTATTGAGAAAAATTGAAATCTTGAAAACTGCTACAGTAAGGTTGAATGTTTGTTTATACTGGCTGATCATTCAATTGGAACAGGAAGGAAAGTGATCTGAGTAAAACAAAGTATGGAAAAATATTCATTGATATATTTTTGTGTTCTGGTCACAATATTTTACCTGTTGATAACCATGATAACCTCATTTCAGCTTCCAGTAGTATTGGTTTGTCGTCACCACTTGCTGAAAACTACCCACAAATACCTCACTCTAGCCAGGCCAATCTGAGCCCATTTCCAAGGAGTGAGTATTGTTATAGCATTACAGATTTGTAGAGAGTAAATACAAAGTTATTGAATATATTGATGGTGTAAGAAGTCATTTGACTCCCTTGTATGTCAGTTTCTTAAAGATTTCATCCAGATGATATATACCTTTGGAACCTTCCTTATACTAATTCATTGTGTATCACAAGTTATTAGTATCTGTGTTTTTATGAGGTCACCTATTCTAATACCCTTCATCTAGCATTGTGCATCGTGCACCATAAACAATTTAACACTTTTGATCTCTTCTCAAAAACCCCTGATCCGATTTCAATGAATTTTTGCAGAAACCTTCCCTGGCCTAAGATGAACCCAAATTGTGAATTATACAGTCCCCACACTCCAGGGGCCTGAAGGGCGGGGCTAAAAGTGGTCAAATTGACTCAGGTTTCATAAACCTTCTTCTCATGACCAGGATATGGTAGAATCAAATACTTTCGCTGAAAGGAAGCATCTTAAGGTGGTTAACCAAAATTGTGAATTTCATGGCCCCAGGGTCTCACATTTCCCTGGGGAGGGAGTAAAGTTAACAATAGTTTTTATAGGAAAACTAGATTTTTGAGCATATTTTGTTTAATATCCATCAGAAATATGTTAAATGTGGTTAGAATTATGATTGAAGGGTGATGGCTTGATGGCATACCCATTTTGATCCACAATGACCCCTAGGGGTTGATGGATGGGACCAAAGGGTGTCAAATTAACTTAAATTTCAAAATTCTTCTTCTCAAGACCCAGATATGGTATAATCAAATGTTCTTATGGTGCTTTGATAACCAAAATCAGTCTCACATTATCAGTATAGAATGACAGTTTTGATGGAATGTATGTATTAACACTTCCTATATTCAGTGTCGCAATTTCTGTTTCATGCCACTTGACAACTATCCTTTAACCTTTATATTCAATATTACTTATCTCAGAAGACCATCAAGGCCACCAGGCTTCTTGTTTAATGTTCATATTTTTGTCTAATTTCTAATTATTTATTGTGGTTTCAGATTCCTCGAGTGCAACTTGGGCTGGCAGTAGTACAGCTACCTACACACAAACACAGGACCCACAGTTCTGTAAGTACAGTTACCTACACACAAACACAGGACCCACAGTTCTGTAAGTACAACTACATACACATAAACACAGGACCCACAGTTCAGTACACCTACCTACACACAAACACAGGACCCACAGTTCTGTAAGTACAGTTACCTACACACAAACACAGGACCCACAGTTCTGTAAGTACAGTTACCTACACACAAACACAGGACCCACAGTTCTGTAAGTACAACTACATACACATAAACACAGGACCCACAGTTCAGTACACCTACCTACACACAAACACAGGACCCACAGTTCTGTAAGTACATCTACCTACACACAAACACAGGACCCACAGTTCAGTACACCTACATACACACAAACACAGTACCCGCAGTTCTGTAAGTACAGCTACCTACACAAACACAGGACCCACAGTTCTGTAAGTACATCTACCTACACACAAACACAGGACCCACAGTTCTGTAAGTACAACTACCTACACAATCACAGGACCCACAGTTCTGTAAGTACAGCTACCTACACACAAACACAGGACCCACAGTTCTGTAAGTACATCTACCATACACAAACACAGGACCCACAGTTCTGTAAGTACATCTACCTACACAATCACAGGACCCACAGTTCTGTAAGTACACCTACCTACACACAAACACAGGACCCACAGTTCTGTAAGTACATCTACCTACACACAAACACAGGACCCACAGTTCTGTAAGTACATCTACCTACACAAACACAGGACCCACAGTTCTGAAAGTACATCTACCTACACACAAACACAGGACCCACAGTTCTGTAAGTACAGCTACCTACACACAAACACAGGACCCACAGTTCTGAAAGTACATCTACCTACACACAAACACAGGACCCACAGTTCTGTAAGTACAGCTACCTACACACAAACACAGGACCCACAGTTCTGTAAGTACATCTACCATACACAAACACAGGACCCACAGTTCTGTAAGTACATCTACCTACACAATCACAGGACCCACAGTTCTGTAAGTACAGCTACCTACACACAAACACAGGACCCACAGTTCTGTAAGTACATCTACCTACACACAAACACAGGACCCACAGTTCTGTAAGTACATCTACCTACACAAACACAGGACCCACAGTTCTGAAAGTACATCTACCTACACAAACACAGGACCCACAGTTCTGTAAGTACACCTACCTACACACAAACACAGGACCCACAGTTCTGTAAGTACATCTACCTACACAATCACAGGACCCACAGTTCTGTAAGTACATCTACCTACACACAAACACAGGACCCACAGTTCTGTAAGTATATCTACCTACACAAACACAGGACCCACAGTTCTGTAAGTACATCTACCTACACACAAACACAGGACCCACAGATCTGTAAGTACATCTACCTACACACAAACACAGGACCCACAGTTCTGTAAGTACACCTACACACAAACACAGGACCAACAAATGTGTAAGTACAGCTACCTACACACAAACACAGGACCAACAAATGTGTAAGTACATCTACCTACACACAAACACAGGACCCACAGTTCTGTAAGTACATCTACCTACACACAAACACAGGACCAACAAATGTGTAAGTACATCTACCTACACACAAACACAGGACCCACAGTTCTGTACATCATCTACCTACACACAAACACAGGACCAACAAATGTGTAAGTATAGCTAAATTCACAAACACTCTAAAACACACATACAAATCATGTGACCAATCCATATTTCCACTGACCTTTTTCTGGAATTTTATAGTTAGTATGCATTAGGATTTTTGTTTAAAATTAGAACTATTCATGTGACATTGTTCAGGAATAATATTAAGTCTGTTGATAATAGTTTTTCAGGATTGATTCATTTTCCACCAGGAAATTGTAACAATAACATCTGCATTGTTTCTCTCCATTCTTCCTTCCTTCTCATGTCAAGGCTCTATTGCCTTCACTGTTTATCACTGTAACTTTATGCGCATTGTCTGGGTCAACCTAGGTGACATTTACCTATATTTTGACCTTTGAATTACATTATGTGGGCACAATTTTCTATACTTATTGTCAAAGTAGCCCCTTAATTAGGTCCAAACTATGTGAGGAGTTAGTATCAAAAGTAGATCACTTTGATGTACTTTTTAACCTTTGACCCCAATCCAGGTTGAATACTTTGATTCAGATTAATGATATGAATTATTTGTTTGGATGTCTGATATTGCTAACGAGTAATTGTCATTAATTAATTCATTCCCTTTTTTACCACCAAGTTATGTGATAACACGCTGCACAATACATTGATGTGATTAAGAACTGTACATTTTACACCTAGTTTTGTTCTCACAGTTGTTGCTACCAAACAGTTAATAATTTTGTAACGTTATATTCATTTATTAATATCACTTTAGATATTTAGTCCACCATCATCTGATGGTTGGCTATTCAAATCGCCCTACATCCATTGTACATGGTCCGTCCGCCTGTCTGTCCATAACCAATTTTTGTTATCGCTATTTTTTATGGCTATTTCTCAGATTTCATATGTAGGTTCCCTTTGGTCCCTAGTTGAGCCTGTTTGATGTTGGGAAAGATCACAACAAAAATGGCTAACAGGTGGCCATCTCGGATTTTTTCAATGAAGTTTGTTATCACTATTACATGAATCCTTCTCAAATTTCCAATGTAGGTTCCTCTCGATCTCTAGTTGTGCCAGTTAGATTTTGGTACTGATTAAAAAAAAAAGTGACCTACAGGAATCCATCTTGAATTTTGACTTTAAAATATTGTTATAGCTGCTTCTTGAGAATTACCCCATAGATCTTTATCATGCTCTTCTTGGTCACTAGTTGTGCCTGTTTGAATTTGGGAATGACCAGGAAGACAAAATGGCAGACAGGCAGCCATCTTGGATTTTGCCTAGTAGAGATTGTTATCCCTATTTCTTAAGATGTACTGAATGGATCTCTCAAATTTCGTATGTATGTTTCTTTTGGTATCTACTTGTGCCCTTTTCACTTGGGACTAATCAGAAGAAACAAAATGGTTTCCAGGCGACCATTTTGGATTTGGTAGGTAAAGATGAGTGCGGTGATTGCTCTTGGATCTCTTTTTGTAGTACTGCAGTAGTTTTTGTCTCTAGCTATTTCACACATTTGCATCCATATTTTGTTTGTTTTAGGGAACAACAATCATTTACAGACATCGGACAACATACCTCTTCCTCCGCTAACCAATCAGCAACGTAAGTTTAGTTTCTCAGGTCTAATATTTTACGGTTGTCACGATATTTTGGCAAGTTCATGAGAATTCTATTTTTGTTTTCTTAACATTTAGCTGTAAACAAGAATTTGTGTTCTACATTGATATCCTTGTGTGTAACATACATTTTTAGCTCATCTGACCCGAAAAGATCAAATTTCTTAAAATATTTATATGACTTCTTCTCATGAACAAAAGAACTAGAGGAATAATTATTTGGCTGGTATGTACCTAAGATGAAGCCCGACAAAGTTTGCAAAAACAAGTGACCTTGACTGATATTCAAGGTCATTTCACAGGAGGCAAATTTGTTAGAACATTTTAACAACTTCTTCTCTTGAACTAAAAATCCTAAAGAAATAATAGTTGGCTGGTATATTCCAAGGATGAAGCTTGAAAAAGTTTTTGAAAAGAAATGATCTTGAATAAAATTCAAAGTCAAAAGGGTCAAATTTGTTAAAACCTTTAAATGACTCATCTCATGAACTTCAAGGCCTAGAGGCATGATATTTAACAGGTAGATATATACCAAGTGAGTGCTGTAGGCCCATTGTTTGATATTTTGAATCATTTTGAAAATTATTCCTAGTGTTTGATTTTGCACTGTCTTTACTGACACTATGTCATCATAATATCAGTGGCTCTATGTATTACATTTTTATTAACTTGGCTCGACTAAAAATATTTAATATTACAATAATACGCTTGTGACCGCTTTGATTAAGACATGATCATGTTGATGTCTTTCATGATTTTACAGATTCAGTTTTCAATAATTTGTGAAATATTTTGTGATAGTGACCTAGATATTCAATACACCATGACATATTTTGTGATTTTGACCTGATTGTTTAATATGCCATGACCAATTTTATGTTTTTGACCTAAATGTTCAATATACCATGACTTAAATTATGATTGTGACCTAAATGTGCAATATACGATGACATATTTTGTGATTTTGATTCCAACAGCTCCTGAATTCTGGTGCACCATTACATATTTTGAGCTGGACCAACAGGTGGGCGAGACTTTCAAGGTGCCATATAGTTGTTCTACAGTAACTGTTGATGGTTATACTGACCCCTCCAGTTTGGACCGCTTCTGTCTCGGTCAGTTGTCTAATGTCCACCGAACGGAGGCAAGTGAAAGAGCAAGGTGAGTTACTGAACATCAATGAGCCACAGAAAGGTGGCAGCTTGTTATGAAATAGAATGGTGAACTTTTTAGATGAAAACATGAATAGGTTGATCCTGACTGACCCCCAGGTGCTGTTAGGCAGGGCCAGTTAGGCAGGGCCAAAAGGGATCAAATTGACTTAAATTTTAAAAATCTTCTCAACACCGAGGTATGATCAAATCAAATGCTCTTCTAGGATGGAAGCTTCTTAAGGTGCTTTAATTACCAAAATGGCTGACACATTTCTTCCTGAAGGGAGGTTAACCTGACTATAATTTTTATAGAAAAAAATCATTTTTGAGCATAATTTTGTTATTTCCAACTGGAATAAGATTTACTAGTATAGGATGACAGTTTTAATGGTATGCACGTATTGACACTGGCTTACTATCATCAATGTCACAATTTCTTTTTCATGACACTTGAAAGCTACTTAACCTTTAACCTTTATACTCAATATTGCTTATCTCAGGTGACCATCAAGGTCACAAGGCCTCTTGTTTGTTTTAATCTTACTTTCATTGTAACATCTTTCAAACTCTTGGGGAAATCTTTAATGTATAACAATCTTGAAAATATACAGCATTCAATTTGCATCTCGGCATATCTTGAAATTAAGACTATTTTGAAAATCAGCTAGTCTTAAAATTATTCAATATTCTTGTTATTTAAAGAAAAAGATGTATTCTGCTGCTGTCCTTATGAAGATTATGGAAAATATAATATTAACATTACATAGGCATCAGATTTTGTGTGATATATTGCCTATTCATGTTGTAGATAATGAAATGCAGTTGAATCTTGCTCGAGTCAAAATTTTTTGTTTGAGTCAAAATAATTTCCAAATCCTGATTATGTTCCTTCTTTATCTTTGTAATTTTAGTTTGGATGACTTGAATTTCATTGAGTCGAATCTTGTTGAGTTGAAGCGATGTTTCAGTCTCTTCAATAGTAAAGTCATAGAAAAAATCATTTGTTGTCTTAAAATTAATTAATGTCTAAGCAGTGAGGCGTCTTTCGAAGAAATCAGTCAATACATACATAGAGTCAAATATCATCTGTGCGTAAGGCATGGCTCATTATGGCTTATCAGTGTATGTACACACAACATTTGGTCTCTGACAATTAATTACCAGCTTAATTATTCAAATAAATGCTTGCTTCTTAATTAGTATCACTATCCTATAGCAATGAATTACCAGTGTGTTAAACAAGTAGCGGGAATACACAAGCTTGTGGTGTACATCTTTAGGAATGATAACAGCTAAACAGCCTATCCAGTACAAACATTTCAGTGAATCTGATCCCCAAAATTTTGAGAAACTAATATGTGTGCTTGTTTGTTAAAAGACTTTATACTTTGCTTGGACAATGCAGTGCTAAAAGCATTTTTTGTTGAAAGAGTCTATATCTGTGCAAGATTTGTTCAGTCTGGTGCTTGTAAAAGTTCTCTTTAAGAGGTAAAAACTGATCATTTACTGTTACATTGTGAAATTGTAGCTGGTACCCTATTCAACATCAGAAAACTGATATTGTCAACCTTATTCAGATACTTTGTTTAAGTCAAAATTTGGAGTCCAAATATTTTCCGTGGTCTCTCAAATTTGGAGATAAAAAGTTTTGACTGTTTTGATGAATTGATAAGACTATGGTTTGCTTTAGGTTACACATAGGAAAGGGAGTACAGTTAGACTACCGAGGGGAAGGTGATGTTTGGATACGCTGTGTCAGTGACCACAGCGTCTTTGTCCAGAGTTACTACCTTGATAGAGAGGCAGGGCGTGCTCCAGGTGATGCTGTGCACAAAATATACCCAAGTGCATACATAAAGGTGAGATATAGTCAGATAAAGGAAACAGAATGAAGATGGCACAGGGAATGATTACCTGGTTATGATATCTGTATTAACATGTATACTTACCAATCAGAAGATGTGTCATAACATCACATGACTTTCTACTACTGGTGCATATTGAATTGTATTATTCCTTGTGTTCAGCTGTATCCTTGGTTACTGTTTTGATAAACACACTTAACATATGTGAATTGGAATGCATTCCCCTAATAATGATGATTCTGCTAATTATATAGATTCCATTGTTAATCCTTATGTATTCCACTGTGAAGGGTTCGTCATAATATTCCCTTGTAATTTTTTTCTGCAGGTATTTGACATAAGACAATGCCACCGACAGATGCAGCAACAAGCGGCCACTGCACAAGCTGCAGCTGCAGCTCAAGCTGCCGCTGTGGCAGGAAATGTTCCTGGACCAGCCTCTGTTGGGGGTATTGCCCCTGCTGTTGGTAAGTCAGTGGTATTATAGGACATGACCGGTGTTACATTTATTGCATTACATTAAGCTTAATTATGTGATTTGTACCACAATGTGTTATTGATGATGGGGGGATGTTAACAACATCTGTTGGTCCTGCCAAGTCACACATGAAATTTCATCCTGTGTTATCCCATTTAAAATCATTGCCATATCATGTTAACCCCTTCACAGATTTGCTTCCCATTGACCCTGTATTATCATGACTCTGGTAAGCTAAAGAGAATTCATTATCTTGTATATGTACCTTAGGTCTCAGTCTGATAAGAAGTTTAGTCTTGACGTAGATTAATGTTTTAAATATTTTTCTTCCTATTATTCCCAGCTACTCTTTTCCTAGCTTTAGATACTTTTTAATTGTGAGAAGTATAACAGATTACATTCTGATCTCCCTGAGTTATTGCCCTTTGTTTTCACTCTGTCAGTACCTCTGATGTATCCTGCCAGTTTTTTCTGGGTCAAGGCTCAGTCATGTGACCTCTCTCAGCCAATTTGTGCTTTATGTTACAAAGTTTTGAGAAAATTGTTTTCTGGGTAGAAATTGGGAACAGATAGGTTTACACCAATCAGAACTCACCTTACATACACCGTTCTGTTTGAGATAATAGCTGAGAACATACATCATTATAAGTTTCTGCATTAATATTCTCTAATTAAATTTGACAAGGTGTTGATTTTCTAATTAATCATTAATATATAACAATATACATAGATGGATTTGAACAGTCTTAACGCTTCAGTTTTTATCAAACAGTGACTGTGTAGTAATGTGCAGATACCTGAAGTTATCAATGGTAGTATTCAATTCATAGAACTATATTAAATCACATGACATCCTTTACAAGTCGTTCATTATTATATCATACGAAGGATGTTTTATGGTTCATCTGAATAAAAAGAAGTGTGCTCGTCAGTAATGGACGTTGAAACATCTTTTTAATGAGACTTAGACCAAGGATTCATCGTGCAGATATATATACTATAGATACATAGCTGGATATATACTTAAGTAGGATATGGAAATGTTATCAAAACCAAGTAAGGTGACGATACTTTTTCACGGAAACTTTTAATATGGTTTTCCTTTCATATTTATATTTGAAAATGTATCATTAATTCTCAAAATTCTTTTATATCGGTAGACGGCTGTTATAGAATACTGTGACCTGTTATCATGAAAGTGATTGGTTGATTTCAAAATGTGTTTATTAAGTCATATTCTCTCTCGTAACTCATGTAAGAATGTTTTGATCTGCTGGTGCGGACTTAGATATAAGTCTATATCAAAGTCTGCGGTACTTGTGAAGGGTGAGCCTCTGTTATACTGTAATAAAGGTGACATCTGATCTTCTAGCGTTCTTATCCAGGTGAATTCACAATTCCAATTAACTTTTTAATGTCAAAGTTTGGTGTGACCCCTAATCTTCTCTGACTGTCATGCTCACCGTCGCACAACATACCCATTTAGCTGAATTTATAACCCAAGGCGCTAACAAATAACAGGTCCATGTATAACAGAAAGAAAAATGAAAGATATTGAATTGAGTGTCCAATGGGATCTGCCCTTAATTATTGCATAAGGAAGATATAATTTTCAGATCAAAAATAAATGCATGATAAATTAACATGGACATACATATATATTTATATTTGGATGAACATGTATGATTTTATTGAAATTCTCATTTTTCCTGAAGTGAGCTGACCAATCATTTTGTTGGTACTAAGGTATTCTGATTACCAACACAAATTAAATTATACAGAACTAATAAAAAGGAAACTTGCTTTAAAACGTCTGAAATGTTTTGTCTCTGATCTTTTGTTTAAGAAATGTATATATATCTATATCAAAATCTGTGCTTTTCTTTTGTCCATTTTTAACATCAATGCAAATTTTTGATATCATCTGCCGAGAACACTTATATTTTCTGTTCCAAATTTCAACAGTTTACCTAACAATATACTATCTACACAGAGAAGTATTATTGATCACATGTGCTTTTACCTGTTCACTTCAGAAGTAAATATGATCATATATTTCTTACAACATTTTATTATGATAGAGCTTTGACATGTCAAGAGAGCAAGTTTCAGTCCACATCAGGTTTGGAAGATTTTTTGTATCGCTGATTCTGATTGGTCAGTGCAAAAAAGGAGCACTGTGCATGTAATTTAGAAATTATCTCAGGATAACCAGGAGGATAGTATAAGTATGATCTTGGCAGACAATGAGGGTTCAGAATGAACAGATTGCAGAATAACTTATTTGTTGATTTTTGTAAAACCTTAAATACACATTGTGTTGCTGTGTTACTAAGTTATATCGTTCCTTACCTGTATATTCCATTTTCAGGTCTTAGTGCGGCTGCTGGTATTGGTGTAGATGATTTAAGACGACTTTGTATTCTACGTCTGAGTTTTGTTAAGGGCTGGGGACCAGACTATCCCCGTCACAGTATTAAGGAGACTCCATGTTGGATTGAAGTTCAACTCCACCGCCCACTACAACTCCTGGACGAAGTTCTACAGACAATGCCACTTAGCAGCGAAGTACGGCCACGTGGCTTCTTCCTAGGCTAGACTCTCATAGCAGTTTTTATTTATCACATTGCCACCACTTGTTTCCTGGACTACCACACAATGATTATTTCACTGAGGAAAATATCCAGCATTTTAAACAAATGCAGGTTACTGCCATAGCTCATTCTAAAATGTGACAGAAGTTGGTTTCCAGTGAGAAGTGTTCAACCCTGATGTTCAATGTGGAAAAGGGAAAAAAATTTCAATGTCCAAACCAAGTGCTGAATTTCAAAAATCTTCAACCTAGAGTTTGTAATTCCTTTCCATGCTTTTCTTGAGAAAGACTTGAATATATTATGCCACTGGAAAATGAATTACTGTGCCAAGTAAGCTGCTCTTACCTAAGAAATAGACCAACAAATCATTGATCTCTACAGAAAGAGTAGAATATGTAATAGACAAAAGGGTTATGTTTTCTGTGTGGGCAATATAGAATTCTGAAAGGAGTTAAACCACAAGATGTGACGAGATGCTGAACAATATTTTAAACATTAGTGTAGAAATTCTGTAAGATCTCTAACAGTATTGAAGAGATACTGTAATGTCTTTGTTACTGAGACAAGATGCTATAAGACCTTTGTAACTATAATGAGGAGATGCTATAAGACCTTTGTAACTATAGTGACATGATGTTGTAAGATCTTTGTAACTATAATGACAAGATGCTATAAGATCTTTGTAACTATAGTGATGAGATGCTATAAGACCTTTGTAACTATAGTGACGAGATGCTTTAAGATCTTTGAAACATCGGTGTTGAGATTCTGAAAGATCTCTTTCAACAATATTGACTAGATGCTATGTGTAGAAATCACATAGAGTTGAGATTTGTTAGGGAATAAAACAGCCACATTATAAGGTACTTAATGATGACCAGTACTGACTTGAAAACTTTGTTAGATTCTGACATTTAACTCTTGGTGCGTATATCATGTTTAATTTGTTGTTATTGTTTGTAAAGACATTCTTGTTCCATAGATTACCGGTGCACCACAAATGTAAATATTGTACCATCACCGACACCATCATTACTGATAATAAACATTGTAACCAGTTCTTCCATGGTTACTAATGGTAATCATATGTAATCATCATTCATGGATTTCATGGGAGTCAAATGATTTTTATAGTCACTGACAGAAACCTGCCCATTGTAATCATTCATTAAATCTTAATGCAGAAGTTTTAGTTCATCATAGGAATAAGGAAAGGATGTGGATTTTTGTTAAAAATTGACTGATCTTAAAAAAAAAATGACGTGAAGTTATAATGTTATAAGAGTGCATACAAACAGTCTAAGGGTCAATTTTTCTTTAAGGGCTCATGAACAAAGTTTGAGAACGGCATTGGAAATTGTCTGGTCTATAAATGCCAACTGGAAGCAATTCAATGCTTATATAAGATTTGTTTCTAAAGATAAACATAAATTGGTCTTTTTTATGCTAAAAAAGTAAACAAAGCTTTATTTCAAAGGTTGTGTGATGGAGATTGTTGAAATGGTATCATCATTTAAGAAAATAAATGTTTCATACGATCAAACTTTGGTGTATCATGTAAATGTTGTACTGTTACCTTTGTCAATTTTCTTGTCCTTCTAGATACACAGATTGATTTTAAAAGGTTTGTTATTTTATAATTGCACGAATTTCATTTACATGTTAATCATATTTATGTAGTCTGTACAATTCTACATATCCATAAGTCTCCTTGAATATTCATAAACCTTCATAAATAACCATAAAGCTTCATAAATATGCATAGTCCTGAATGCATTAGAGCGCTTTGTTCCATCCGTCAAAATTATAGCTGTATGCTTTTGGGGGTCTTTAAAAAAGATATGGAAAAAGTCAATAATGATTGATTTTAACTTGTGTTAATCTGTGGGTAATGATCCTGATAATTCTGATGTACATGTAAAATGTATCACCAGGACAAGTACATTAATATTACCATGTAATTCACAGAGTTTTACTTTATAAAATACTCTAAAATAATTTGATCATCTCTGACACAAAAACAGCAGGGCTTTTTGGCAATCATTAGCAGGCTGTCAACCGATTCCTATATTTTCCTATATTTTGGTTCAAAACTTATATTTTGAAAGATCTCCTTTATTTCCTTTATTTTCCTATTTTTTAAAAAAATATTCTTATATTTTTCAGGAAATTTTTCGCCGATAAATGTGAGATTGTAAATATTTCTTTAATACTGCATTTTGGCTTCAGTATTTTAGTTTTTAGTCTTTAACAGCATCACCAGCCACCAGAAAATGACTCAGTGCATCTCTTTATTATTTGTATGGGCACTTGCAAGGCAGTACAAAAGGATATTGGCCTTTTAGGTGCCCATGGAGATGATGATGATGATGATGATGATGATGATGATGTTGATGAGCTATGCAGAAGAATTGTTAGTATAAATGCCTTTGAATGAAATGATTTTCATTTGGAGAACTCTTATATTTTGCCTAAGCACTAGAAAAAAACCTATATTTGTTGGAAAAAATATTCCCATATTCCTGCTATATTTTGAAGGAGACTTGGTTGACAGCCTGCTTAAAGGAAAAGCTCTAGTAGAAATCATAAGTAGTAAACTATATATTTTGGGAATTCGGCCATATTATGAAATAAATCGAATTGGGAATGGGACCCACAGAAGAGGTCCCAGGTAAAACGCTGCAAATATGAAATTTGTCTTGAATCAGAATTCAGGCAAAGAAACCACTTTTAAACAATGTTCGTTAGATTTTATGTGGTAGATATTTTGTCTACAGGATTCACTTGATTCATTAAGGCTCCATAGTACATGTTCATCAACATATATCATCATGTTGTCTATTTATGCATGCATCTTTACCTATTCAAAAAGTCTGCAGATTCTCAGACCATCATATTGTTTATTTTTAGCTCAACTGGCCCTTTGGACAAGAAATGACCTTGACTTGTATTCAAGGCCACAGGGGTCAGAATTGTTTAAAAAAAACTTGAAACTACTTCTCCTCATGAGACATGATGTTTGGCTGGTATAGAGCAGATGAGTGCTGCAGGCCCATTGGTTGTCTTGTTGTCTTAACCTATTACTACCAAAAGTCTTCAGATTCACAGACCATCATTTTAAAAATCAAAACCAAACAAAGGCAAACAAAAATTGCAGTTTGCAAATATTCATTTTAATTTCCCGCCTCCCCACCCCACCACTACCACCACACACACACACACACACACACACACACACACACACACACACACACACACACACACAAAAACCTTTTGTTTGTATCAGTGGGATTACACCACTGTAATTTGCAATGACATGAATGGGTGAATTGTTACCTAAATGTTCTAAGGGATACGTGTGTTTATTTTAATCTCAAAAGTATTACTCCGAAATCATAAATTATCTGATGGAAACAAGTTACAAGAAAATCTACAGTGGAAGAAAAATAGTTGTCATGGTGATTATTTATGATGATCAGTAAAGTTTAAAAATAATCAGTATTGTCTGAGAAACTGACGATTAATTTCCTTTGACCTACAATTGTCATTGTCATGCTTTATCGTTGAAAGAAAGTCCTGATTTTGTCTCATCCAGTCAAGGATACATTTCCTCGAAGAAATTCACTTTTCAGTGATTTGTAAATGGATTGGTAGACCCCTTCAAATTTTTAACCTATTTAATATTTACCATTATGTATATATACATGCTCATTGTGTCATTTTTATGTCATATTCATTAAGAAAGAATTACAATTTTGTTTTGATTAAAAAAATCAACGACACCATCAAATGTCATTCCTAGTAAATTCAAAAGCATTTATTAAACATGGAATCAAAGTCAGTGTTTTGTTTTTACCAATAAATATGCATGATACCAACATAATGGTCAACTTAACCCAAGAGGCCATTGAACTAGTGCCATTGTGTGGCCAAAGCCATCAAGATGGCAGTATCAGCTCTCTTCCAAGCAGGTTCCATATTTTTAACTTGTAAAGCATGTCAGGGAGCATTGTTTCCATTAAACTGTTAAGGGAGTATTGTTTCCACTAAGCTGACTATAGAATTTTGTCTCCAAGTGAATTAGAGAATGGTGTCTCCGTGAAGCCGACAAGGGAATTATTGTCTCTCTGTCAAGCTTACAAGCAAGTATTTTCTCTCCATTAAGCTGACGGGGAATATTGTATCTCCATCAAGTTGACCGGGAATATTGTCTCTCCATCAAGTTGATTGGGAATATTGTCTCTCCATCAAGTTGATTGGGAATATTGTCTCTCCATCAAGTTGACCGGGAATATTGTCTCTCCATCAAGTTGATTGGGAATATTGTCTCTCCATCAAGTTGATTGGGAATATTGTCTCTCCATCATGCTGACTAGGGAGTATCGTTCGTCTCTCAAGCTGGCTAGTGAATATTGTCTCAATGAAGCTGACAAGGGATTTGTCTCTCTATCCAGCTGACTAGGGAACATTGTTTTCATGAAGCTGACAAGGGATTTGTCTCTCCATCAAGCTGACAATCAAGTATTGTCTCTCCGTCAAGTTAAGACGGAAACCGAAGAAGAATTTTCTGAAGAGCCACCTGTCAAATGTGTAGTGTTTAAATATCGGAATGGAAATCTTAGAGAAATGTTCTATTATGATTTCGTTAAAAAGAGCATTGCCAAAGTTCAAAACACAGGCGAAAATATTAGATGAAAAACGAATGTTGGTTTTTGGTTACTTAAAAATGTTGTTTCATTTAAAAATTTGTATTTTTCTGGAGCATGAAGTAGGAACTTGCCCTGTTGGCTGAAACCTTACACACTACTATTTCTTATAATAAAAAAAGCGAAACAAACTACTTTTTCTGAGGATTGAGTGAGCAAAACAAACTGCTCTTTCTGAAGATTAAATAGGCGAAACAATCTACTCTTTCTGAAAATTAAATATGCGAAACAAATTCTGTGAGAGAATGAAAAGATAAAATGAAATGAAATCGCTGTCGGGCCGGATTAACTCATGCTAGCAAAATGAAGAAAGCACTTCGAAATACTTAATATGTAACTTCCTGATACCAATTGGTGTGTTTTAAACTAATTATACAGATGTTTTGTCCTTCAGGGTCTTGTCAGTGATGTTCAAGGCCCTATGTGTTGATAATATAGAGGCAGATGAGTGAAATAAAAAAATTGGTGAAAAGACGTATCAAAATCAAGGTGCAATAGACCCATAATGAAATACATCTTCTTAATTTCAAATATCTGTATTTTCTGTGACCTATTGCTATCGCCTTTTGTACAGGCGCACTGAATATAGCTCCCATCCCCCATGGGCATGAGGGGCGGGTCCAGTAATGGTCAAATTGATCGAAACTTCAAAAATCTTCTCAATTCCCGGTTCAGGCATTTTCAATTACTCTTCATGGATTGAAAGGCCTTCAGATGCTTAAGTTCGTTATCTCAGTGTCTCACATTTCCGCTAGGGAAGGGATAAAGTCGACTAAAGTCTTATAGATGATTACATTTCTAAACATTATTTCTTTATTCTCAATCAGAAATAGTTGAAACTATTATTTGTATGAGATGACAGTCTGATGTGACTGTACCCCCAGTGACTGATGGACAGATATAGAAGAATCAAACCCTCGTCAAGTATGTGAGTGCTTTACTAAAATATAATGACCACAGGATCTCGCATTTCCCCTTGGCGGGTGGGGAGGGGATGTCTCCTGGTTTATATAGGGAAATAACATTTTTATATCTTAACTTTTACAAAATCCATTTTCCTTTATTAATTACTGTTCATAGATGGAAGAGTTTACAAGAAAACCATCAATTCTATTTGTTACTTCTTTTAATTCAGACTAAGAAGCCTGAGTATGGGGCACAGTATATTTACAGTTTACATTAGCTGTGTACAATATAGTTAAAGCGTTATCTTATTTTTCTAAATCATTTCTAGGGCGTCATAAATGAAGCATTGTAACTCAGGTGACCGTTAAGGTTCTTGGGTCTCTCGTTTTAAAGTGTGAAGTACACGAGTATAATAGTGTTACAAAGTCAAACGCGACTATCAATTATTGTATATTGACAACTGAACCAGTACAAGAACCTTTTTTAACAGTTTTGACATATTTCTTTCAAAGTAATGTAAGTAACCTGCACGTTACACTGTCAGCTAACATGATAACAAGACAAGATAAAACAAACTCTGGTAGTTTCTTGTTTTATTTAATAAAAATATCTAACGCAAAACAAGAATGAAATAAGGTGGGAAAAAAACACTGTGAACATCTCTGTCAAATCTCTCATGTTTTGGTACATGATGCATTATTTGTTAACAAATTTATTGATTGATGAAGAAACCCATTTCTTATTTGTCTAACTCCTTTCTACAAACTGATTGACGGAGGAAACCATTTGTTATTTGTCTAACTCCTCTCTACAAACTGATCGACGGAGGAAACCATTTGTTATTTGTCTAACTCCTTTCTACAAACTGATTGACGGAGGAAACCATTTGTTATTTGTCTAACTCCTTTCTACAAACTGATTGACGTAGGAAACCATTTGTTATTTGTCTAACTCCTTTCTACAAAATGATTGACGTAGGAAACCATTTGTTATTTGTCTAACTCCTTTCTACAAACTGATTGACGTAGGAAACCATTTGTTATTTGTCAAACTCCTTTCTACAAACTGATTGATCGTCGTTATTTCACTAACTATGATGGTTGACTTCTGCCTTTTTCTCAGTTTTTTTTCCTGAACTGTAGGGCGATAGAAGTAATATGAATCGCTGTTCATGATGATAACGAAATCCTAAAAAAAACAAGTGGTTCCCGGCTATCATATCTGGAAACTACAGGAAAATGAAAATATATATCGAAGGTGAGGTTTATAACTAAATGGCTATGGAAATGGAAACGAAAGTTGTTTTGAAATGATGATCTTGAGACTGTTTGTACAAGAATTCTCACAAGAAATGAAGTACTCAAATTGTTCATCCATAGATGAAAGTCAATGGTTTTGAAAAAGTACGCTCAGGCCTTTAAGTAATCTGGTCTCTACAGTGATCTGACAAGTTGGACAGTTCAATGTGCGTCTGTGATGACGCATTGTCTTGTTTTAATGAAAAACTTGATTTAGAGAACTTGACGTAACACACCCAAGCATTACGTAGTGAGAATAACATTGTTATATACTTTACATTTCATCATGTTCAAGTTCATTTTGCAGTGTTTTTTGATGATCAGTTTAGATTTTATCCGAGCTTAACCAACGATTGTTAACTTAGATACACGTAAACCTGAGAGCAGGGTCAACGGCAGCATTCATGCTGGGGTTGGTTTCATCTGACGGACTTTTGACGCCTTTCTTGCACATGTTCCGAGTTGTCTCCCTTGCATTTTCCCAATCCACGGCACCATACATTAGTGTTTGCTCATATATGTAGATCCCATGTTCTTCTGTGTCGGGAATAAACCATTCAGGAGATACGGTTCCGATGTTGCTTGATCCAGTATTAATATCATGTGATTTGATTTCGCCTTCCCATGACACAGTACATAATCGTCCTACTGGGGTTATTGTTACTTTGGTATAATCGTGTTGACTTTGAGATCCAGTTGATGAAATAAGGTTTTTGAATAACGGAAACTTGCCACTGCATTTGTACTCTATACAAGCTCCACTGTTCTCCACATATTCCTGACGAATTCCCAAGACTGTATCTTCTATTCCGCTATTTGTGCCTGCCTTACTTCTGACTGAAAAAGAAAGATTTGCAGATGAGCCAGTTACTTCTATTTTTATCATACAGATTGTGAAATCAGACATGTCGATAGTTTTTTTGTGTGGATACCACAACTTCGGTCCGATGTCATCTGTGTTTGAGGACCGTTCATAGGCTTCAATTGGATCGATATTCAAGAGAGTAAAATCGGCGAAGTTCGAAGTTGAACGTTGGTAGAAATTAAACATGTTTATTGACGTTAACGAACCATACTTCTTAAATGGACCATCACCAGATAGCAGGAATTTGGTTTTTACGGCAAGGGGGTCCGTTGTTGTTTCATAAGTCAGACGGGAACGAGCAGACTGTGCTAGTCCACTAAGACTGGAAATACCTGGCTCATATTCTTTCCCACTTTTAAATGCTTGGATATAACCCCACGCATCACTACGGCAAAACGTATATTGCCACTCATCACTGTTGCGCGAAGATTCCTTGATCGCTGTGACATATTCTGCGTTGCTGCCAGGATACCTTTCTCCAGGATACGTCATGTGCATCACTCGTACAGTGTAGCCATTAACGAGAATATTGTTTTTATCGGTAACGGCGGTTCTGAAGTAGCATCTGGAGAACCCTCTATAACAGTCTAAATTGATTGCCTGGAATGCACTTACTTGAACTTGTCCTACGAGATAATTTTTTTTTTTTTTTAGCACTCAGAATAGTATCAGCATGACGTTCAGCGTGACGTTCTTCGAATGTCTACGTTCATTCAGAATGTTATAAGCGTGACGTTCTTTAAATGTCTACGTTCATTCTAATATATTAGCATTAATTAACTCAAACATTAACAGGACCAATATACAAAGTAAATACTGAGACAGATAGACAGCCATAAAGTCAAAGACACAGACAACACAAGGAGACAGAGAGACAGAAATGTAGGCAGTCAGACACACAGACAGACACACCCTGACACACCGACAATCAGAGAAACAGACAGACAGACATGCACACAATCATAAACATAGACAGCCACACTAGCAAACACATAACAGTCAAATAAACATACAGCCACACAGACAGACATCCTGACACACACACCCTAACATACACAGACAGACACATAGACTGACATACTCACAGACACACAGATAAATCACATACGGCCTTCCATGAAAAATGAAACGATAAACATGCGGACGACAGACAGATTGCGTTATCATCGGTTACAAGTCACAAATATTAAGATACACAAAAGAACGGTATACATAACAGATCCTAATCATAGACATATATGATATATGATAATTAGTCTAATTTTTTAACTACACAACAGAAGCATAAGAGAATTAACAAGTGTTATATTACATGTTTTGGAACTTCTCAAATCACGTCACATCAACTCTTTTTTTTTCTCTCTTCATCACAGTGCTCGTTTTATACTTTTAATTGTAATCCTGTTCTTTACAAATGAGTTGTTTATTCAATATATATGTTTAAACATAGCTTGACATTTAACTTGTAATAAAAGAATGCCTCTTTCATTGATCTAGTATCTTATTAAGTATATTTTGTGCATATTCAATAGGCAATGTTTTCTTTTTATTGGACTTTACATATAAAATTAGATTGCTAACTATTACTGATTGAACTTTCTTCTGCATTTGATTGATACTATATTTAATACTATTATGTTTTATATCATTTCTACATTTCCACATTGTCCATTTGAATGCAATTAGCGCACTATTAAATAAAATAGAAAAGATACCTTTTTCCAGATAGCCCAGAGCTAATATTTCTGGAGTCAAAAGTTCATTCCTAAAACTTGGGAACTTCACAAATATTTTATTTCTGCATTGAATAAGGACAGATTTTACAACGTTACACGAGAAGAAAAGATGTAAAATATCCTCTAATTCTGTCTTACAAAAATGACATTTTCCGTCTGAATTACTAAATTTACTTATTTTTACTTCAGTATAAATGACGTTGTGTATACATTTCCATTGCAATTCCTTCATCTGTGTTGTCGTAAATGTTAATTCTATGTTATCCCAAACCAGTTCCCAGTCAAATTGTTTTTGAAAAGTTTGTTCCCATTTCAATTTGCAATTCGGTGTCAGATTTTTATTCAGTGTATTCATGATGATTTTAGGTTTTAATTTTCTCATAGTGAGCGGTTTCCCATCTCTTCCAATAATATTTAGGTTACTATCAATAATTGGGTATAAATAATCATTGTTCTCTCTGTTGTTCCCCTTTAACTCATCTAACCATACTATTGGAAAAGCATTTTTTAATCTCGATAACTCAGACATACAATTTCGCTTATCTGTTAACAAAGAGTATATATCACGATCTTTTTTAAAATTCTTGTTTTGTACATCCCATATATCGTTGACTGTACAGATGCCACTTTTCGTAAATGAGGTAAAAAATAAAGGTTTTTCATTAAATTGAATAAAGTGGTTACCGAATAGCGGTTGTTTAAGAATCTCGTTTCTGTTTACATGTCTTAAATTTAATTTCTGATAAGTTGACCATGATTCTAACAGTTTTTTATAAAACAATGGAAAGTTGGATAGGTTCAACGTACGTATGTCCGATAGTTTACAAACAAAAAACTCGATTCTGTATTTGTCATCCAAAGACCTAAGCCAGTGTTTGCCTATCGCGTTCCATGTATCAGTGTCACTTTTTAATATTTTGTACATAGATTTTACCTGTATACTAAAAACAAAATCTTTCACATCTATAATATTCATACCTCCTTCATGATAATGCTTTGATAATATTTTACGATTCACTAAGTCTTTTCTTCCGTTCCAAACAAAATTCCAAATTAACGAATTAATACTTTTAATATACTTTTCAGGTATACCTCGAGCTTCTGTCTCAAAGGCAATTAAGGAAAAGATAAGAGATCTTATAATTAGACTCTTGCCATATAAAGTTAAATGTCTACTTTTCCATACTTGTATACATGCTTTGATTTTCTTTATTTTCTCTTCCCATATCGCATTATTATCTATATTATAACCGTGATGTACACCTAATGTTTTTACATGTTTTTGTGTCCATGAGATATTGCTGTATACGGGTTCTTTATTCTTCCATCTACCTAAATATATTCCGGTAGTTTTTTCTAAATTAATTCTTGAACCAGACGCTGATTGATATACATTAAGCACTCTGAATGATTCTTCAATTGATTGTTCGTCAGATTCAAGGAGTTGCGTATCGTCTGCAAACATATTTATTGCAGTTTCTGTATTATCAGGTAATTTGATTCCTTTTATATTTGGGTTCGCTCTAATGGCGCATGCCAGTGGTTCCGCCTGAAGAATATACAAAATTGGTGCAGCCGGACAGCCTTGCCTCGCTGACCGCGATATAGGAAAATATTTACTTACAAATCCATTTGTTTTGATACATGTCTTAGCATTTTGTAAAAGCATGTTAATCCAGTTTCGAAATTTGGTTCCAATGTTAAATTTTTCCAGACACATATTCAACCATTCCCATTCAACCCTATCAAATGCTTTACTTTGATCTAAAAAAATTATCGCACCTTCTGTTTGTTTTAATTCCGTATATTCAATTATATCTTGTATAAGTCTGTTTGCGTCTGAAATATTTCGTCCAGGTACAAACCCCTTTTGGTCCGGATGAATAAGATAAGATAAATGTATTTTTAACCTATTTGCAAGAATTTTCGCGATAATTTTGTAGTCCACATTTAACAATGTCAATGGCCTCCAGTTTTGAATCAACTCTCTTTCACCTTTTTTGTAGAGTAAAGTAAGCATACCTTTGGTTTGAGACTCAGATAGTTTATTTTTCAGAAAAATTTCTTTTAAGACCAAAATAAATTCGAGTTTGATAATATACCAATATTTCTGATAAAATTCGGCTATAATTCCATCTTCTCCTGGTGACTTATTGTGTTTTAATTGATCGATACTTTTTACTATTTCCTCCTCTGTGATCTCTTTTTCTAAATCATCTCTTTGTTCATTGGACAATTTGTTTTGTACATGTTCTAAAAGTGATTCTGCAGCCCTTCTATCCATGCCTTCTGTCGAGAATAATTGTTTATAAAACTTTGTTTGCTCGTCTAAAATTCCATTTATGTCTGTTTTGTAATTTCCGTCATCTGATTTAATCCGATGCCAAACTTTTTCTTTTGCTCTAGTTTTCTCTAAGCTAAAAAAATATCTTGAAGAACTCTCATTGTCTTCGAAGTATTTGATTCTAGACCTTACTCTAAAACCATTCGTCTTTTGTTGATAATAATCTTTAATTTCATTTTTTAAAGAATTGACTATCTCTCCTGGAACATTTTCCATTTGATATAATTTTTCAAGCAATAGTTCTTTCGATTTTATTTCACTTTCTCTTTTATTTAATATTTTAGAAACGTGGATAGTGATCTCTTTAATTTTTAATTTTGTTATCTCCCACCAGTCAGTTAGATTATTAAACTTGTGTTTTTCTAATTTCCATACCAACCAGAATGTTTCAAACATATTTTTGAATAAATCTGAACTAATAGTGGAAGCATTCATTTTCCATGTTCCCGGTCCCATTTCGACATTACCTATTTCTATTTCGGAGTGTAATAAATTATGGTCGCTGTATAAACATGGTATTATCCTAGTACCAATTATGTCATTGCTTAGGAAGGGACTAACGAAAATGAAGTCAATTCGGGATTTGGAATTCCCTCTGCTAAATGTATGTCCCTTTTTTTCCGAATTTCTTATGCGCCATATATCTATCATTTTATGTTTTTCTAATAGCGTCTTAAATTGTCTTGTACCGGGGTCGTCCCCATTCGTACTTGGAATTCTATCATATTTGTTATTCAAAGTACAGTTGAAATCTCCCAAAAGTATGTTATTTGTTTCCGGTATATTATTATCCAAGTATTCAAAAAATATTTTTCTGTTTGCGCACGTATTAGGGGTATACACATTTGTTAAATGAAAGGAGCAATTGTCATCCGTTGTCACTTTGCATTGTAAAAATCTACCCTCGTTATCCCTTTTTGATTCCGTAATTTTTAAATTTGTTAAACTTTTAGATAACAACGCCACACCTCTCGAAGCAGAACTACCATTGTTCCAAATACTATCGTTACCTCCCATATCTTTCCATTCCTTACTCCATTTATTTTCGTCTGTATTCGTACAATGCGTCTCTTGTACGGCTATTATTTCAAATTTCCTTTTTATTAGCCATAGAAAGAATTCCTGACGTTTTGTTTTATCTCTAAGACCATTTATATTGATTGATACGATAGAAATGGATGGCATTAATACAAAATTAAGATATAATCAGTTAATCCTAAATATGTCTTAAGAATTCCGTCAAAACTTGCTCATCTTGTTGGCTTGACGTTCTGCTGACCGAGGGGTTGCTGATCTGTCACTATTGGTTCTCTTCCGGTAAGATGTCGGGGTGAAAGCAACACCAGGATCTTGAGTAAAGGTGGCATTGCGGATAAAGTTCTCCATGACTGACCACATCTCAGTGGCACCCG